CACAGAGCCTGCTGCCCCCACCTAGGAGCCGGACCTGCTGGCAGTTTCCAGGGCACAGCACAGTGCCCCAGGATTATACAGGGCTTTGGAGCAGAGCCTGGAGCTGAAGCGCGGAGCAGCTCTGGAGCAGCAGGTTTTTGCCTGGAGCTGGAGCTGAGCGGGAGCACAGCTCCAAAGCCCTGCTAGGATAGACAAGCAACCTGCCTTAAGTAAGCCCAACCCCCTGCCCCAGCCCTGAACTCCCTCCTTCACATCAAACCCTTCATCCCCAGCCCAGAGCCCACACCACCTCCTGCACCCCAACCCCTTCTGAATCCCAGAGCCTGCACCCCCCTACCCCAGCCCAGAGCCCCCTCCCACACCTTGAACCCCTCATCCCCAGCCCCATCACAGAGCCCTCACCCCCCTCCTGCACCCCAAACCCTTCATCCCTAGCCCCAGCCCAGAGCCATCACCCCTCCCACAGCCCAACCCCCTGACTTAATCTGCAGCCCCCTCCCACATCTAGAATCCTTCAACCCCATCCCCCAGCCTGGAGCCCCTTCCTGTACCCCAAGCCCCTCATCCCCAGCCCAGAGCCTGCACCCTTAGCCCGAGCCTGCCCCAGCCCGGAGTCCCCTCCCACAACCTGAACCCCTCATGTCTGGCACACCCCCATTTAGAGCCCTCAACCGCTCCCACACCCCAACCCCCAGCCCAGTGAAAGTGAGGGAGGAGGAATGCAATGAGCAGGGGGCGGGGCCGCAGGGAAGGGGCGGGGCTAGAGTTGGGGGTTTGTGCCCACAGAGAGTTGACAATCCTACTCCGGGCGCGGACAGGCTCGGGGCAGAGGGGCGCGACCCCTGCACCCCGAAGCCTCCTTGGTGAAGGGGGCTCCCGGCCCCCGAGGAGAGCGGGGCAGAGGCAGCCCGACCCCTTCAGGTTCACGATTCACCTTCGCGCAGCTCCGCCACAGCGCCGCTGCCATCATGTTCGCTGCGGCTGCTGACCCCCCTCCGCCCGCGGCGAACCCAGCGAGCCCCTCCGCGGCTCGGGCTCGCAACAGCTACTGTCCAGCGTCACGACCAAAGTGCGCGGACTGCGCCTGCGCTGGGCGCGCGCTAGTCTCGCGAGGTGGGAGGAACGGGGCGGGCGGGGCTACTACTACGGGAGACACTCACAACAAACATGGCGGCTGCGGTGGGTGTTGGGAGCGGTGGGGTGCAGGGGAGGTGAGTGATGCTCCCGCCCCGTAGCTCAGGCGCCGGGCTATGGGGGTGGGTGAGAGCCGCCCAGTGCCCTCATCCCCCAGGGGCCGCCGTCGCCTGTGACTAGCCCCCTTGTCTTCTCCAGCCAGGGCCGAGGCCCTCTCATCGGGGAGCAGGAGGCTGCAGTGGGGCTGGGGCCGAGGGCGGAAGCAGTGACACCTCCCCGCCCTGCAGAGGTGGACCCTGGGGGGCAGTGGGTCTTCTCTTCTCCCTCCAGGTGAGTGGGGGACTTTCCTTGCCCTCTGTCTGGCTCCCAGGTGAGTGGGTGGGATGTCTGCCTGGCCCCAGGCGGATGAGGGTGCCACTCGCTCCCAGACTTCAGGAGGGATGCCCACGAGGGTTTCTCCCTTCTCTAGAAATGGGGTGGCCGTTTCTTTCTCTTGCACCGCTCCACACGGGAGACAGATGGCAAGGGTGGATGGGAGACAAATGCACCTGGCGCGGTTCCAAACGTGGTGTTCTAATTTTTAACAAAACTTAAACAGACACAAAGCAGGGGTATTGAATGTGAGAGGGGTGTGAGAGAACAGTCTCAAGGAAGTGTTTTCTCTGGCCTGGAGCTCATAGCACACCCTTGGGGATGGATATGTATCTGCTGTAAGTTTTCTTTAAATCAAGAGCAATTTGCTTAACAGAATTCTGTAGTGGTCGTGTTGTTTTCCTCCTATGTTTGGCTCCTACCAGGTAATTGGTGCGGGAAGCAGTGCTCTGAATGGGGTGTGGAGAGTCTGGTTCTTGGCCTTTGTATGAAGACTCATTTGTGTCATAGACTTTGAAGAGTGCCAGGTGGGAGCTCTTTGAAAAGCTGTTAGTAACTTTTTGTGAGGAATCAACTGGTTAAAACGTTGAGCATTATGCGGGACTGCTTTAGATCCTGATTTTTCTCCCACCCTCTCCCCACACACGTACTCCTCAGGAAGAAAGTAATAGAACAAGTCAAATGACCGTTACGGAGGTTCAGAGGTGTTTGGTTCTTCCCTTTATGAAATAATCCCTTCATTCTGAGATACCAAGTCAGTGGTTTCAGAGAGACTTTTGAGACTTCCTTGAGGAAAAATGTGACACTTCATATGTATGTTTGCTTGCTGTCAAAGGTTTCAAACTGCTTGTCTGTGTCACAGCTATTTCAGAGCCATGATATCTGAAGTGTAGGAGCAAACCAGAAGGCTCAGGAGTGCTAGTGTGTGAATTTTTTCTTCAAGAGAACTGTAGAAGATTTCAGTAATATTTTACGTAAGGCTTTCATATTAAAGCCTTCTATAGAATATATGCATACAGCACTGCTGAATTGCAGCTAGCTTTGGGGTGAATGGGAGTACCCAGGCAGACAACCAGTGCCCAGCACTCTACACAACTGTGAAGTATATGATGAAAAATTTTGCCCAAGAGCAATGAATTAAACAAACCCCCTATTCTTAAAGAATGTGTTATAGAATTATCTGTGACACTTGTAGTAGGCAGAATCTTAGATTATTATATACAGCCTGTCAAAATTATCATGAAAACTTACCAGTTAAGGTACAAAATCTATTACCCCTCCATTTTCCATGATGCTTCGTGGTGCATTTAAAAAAATTATATTCCCCACATGAGTAGAATTTCATATGAGTAGTATGAGGTGTCATCCAAAAATTATACACTAAAATATATAGTTTAATTTATTCTGTTCAGGTACCCATAGCCATGTCATGAGTAACTTTAGTATGTGATATGACTGTCACTTGTGGGATTTTTTTTCTCTCCTCTCTCTAGGATTTTTGTGAATTTTTTTTAAAAATGCATGATATGGTATTTGTTAATTTAAGCAAGGTCACAGAAATGTTCCTTGCACGTGAAACAGAAAATGGTGAGGTTTGAGTTAGTTCTTAGATCCTGTTGGGAATTTACGTTAATCAGAAGGATGAAGGGCTTCTGAAATTCAAAACTATAGTACCAGAGACTGGAGTTAATTTAAACATGATGGGCAGACCACTAAATCATGTCTTCTGTCTTTCCCCAGTTCCACTTTTCAGTATTCATTCGTCTGTGAGAATTTTTCAGACTGAAATGTTACTGTATAAATTACCACATGAATCAATTTCCCCCTTGAAGTAAAGAGTATCACTACAGACTCTTTGGTGAAAATATAGTTCTTTTTAATGTTGATTCCTGTTAAGCCATCCCAAACTCAATTTTCTAATATTCATTGTTGAACGGCTTAGTCTAGTGGTGCGCAAACTTTTCCAGTCACAGCCCCCCCCCCCCCCTTACCATTCACAGAATTTGTCACCCTTCCTCCAATACTTGTGATCTGAAACTATTTTTCATGCCAGAAGGTGGAGGGGAAAAATAGAGATCACTGTTCATTCATTTAGTTTAGTGTTATAGCGTCTGACTCACTTGAGAGGTCCCAGGCGCTCAACTATTATTTTATATGTTGCTGGTTTATGTCTTTTAATATCAATTATTAATCATTAAATGAGTTTTAAAATTAGAGAATCAAATTAATTTTAAAGGCATCGTAGGCCTACTGTAGTTAATGAAACTTAAATTGTTGAAAATAAGCCAGCCTGTGCTTTTATTTGTATGGTTTTTTAAAAAAGGGTGAAAGGCTGAAGTTTCTTTACCCCCCCCCCCCCCCC